GGGGCGATGGAGCCTCACGGGTGTGCGGCCAGCAGCTGCGAACCAAGCATTGCTGGTAGGTAAGGGGACGGGAACGGCATCCTGTCCTGTGCAGAAGGGACAGGAGGACAGCGAGTGTGCCGAGGGCAGCCCCAGGCAGTGCTTCCCAGGAGTGTTTGTGCAGATTGTGGCTGGGGGGTGTAGGTGGGAAGGGGATGAATGGATGGGCAGATGGATGGGCAGACAGATAAAGGTGTCCTTGCGGCTTCAGCGCTGCTCAAGAGCTTGTGCCCAAGCAAAGGCTCCTGGGGTCCCACTGCCTCCCCGCCCCCACAGCCGTGGGGTTCAGTGCCCTCCGGCCATGGTCGGCCCCGAAGCGGTTAAGGCAGAGCAGGCAGAGTTGCTGCTGGGCCCAGGGCGTCCCTCCCAGCCCGCTTCCTGCCGGCAGCCTTTGACCAGTTCCTGCCAGTGACCACCCTGCGGTCCTGGAGAACAGCGCGGCCCCATCTGGTTTGAGTTACGCTCCGCGGCGGTGACGTCTCCTTCCTGTCTGGGCCCCAGGAGCCGTGCATTGCCCTGGGCCACAGGGGCTGCAGGGTGAGCTGCAGGACAGCCCTGGTGCCCACGGGTGCTGTGAGTTCTCAGCCGCAGCAGCACTGGAGTGGCACAGAGCCTGCCTACCATGGCAGCACCCAGAGATGAGCACGGCTGGGCCATGGCTGCCCCAGAGCAGGATGATGTGGGGTGGTCAGTCCTGGTGTGAAGCGATGAGACCATCACTCTGCAGCCCCCTCCTCTCCCTTTTTAGACATGTGGGTCACTATTGCATCTCCATCACTGCCAGGGGCACGGTGATGGAGATAGTCCTAACCTGGTGCTCTCTCACAGCAGTCAGCATCTGTGAGTCTCCCCTCACACGGGGGTCTCTTGGTGCTGTGACCCCACTGGCTCTTCCCCAGAGGGGAAGGAAGGTGAGCAGGGCGATGCTGTGCAGCAGCACATGGCAGTGCAGCACTGTCCAGAGCTGGGGGTCTGTGCTCCCATGCCAGCACCCGCTGCAGCACGGTCCCAGACATGAGTGGGCCGGGGCCAGGCCACCCAGTGAGCCGGCAGTGAGCCGGGGGGAGGAAGGGCAGGGAGAGAAGCGAGCCATGGCCAGAGCTGAGCTAATGGTGGGGAGCTGCAAGCATGGGGGGCAATGAAGGGAAGGCGTTCATACACAGCGTATCCGGGCAGAGGAGAGAGTGGGGCTCTGCCCCATCCCATCCCAGTAGGGAGCGGTGATGCTGAGGGTGCAGCCTTCAAGGCTGGGTCTGGATCACCCTCAGGGTGACGCTCCCACGCAGCCCTGCTGCTTCCTTCCTGCACGGAGGCACCCATCCCACCGCATGCCAACCGGGCACCTTCCCGTGACCCACAGCCATCGGGGATGGGATCTCCATGCCAGGGTCTGTGCCGTGGGGCTGCAGTGGGTTCCCGCAGTGCTCGCAGGGCTGGTGCTGCAGCCATGCGTTCCCAGGCACAGGCGGGAGCCCAGCAGGCGGGCGTCCTGGCTGCGTGGTGTGGGAACCAGACGGCCCCTGGGCACGGCTCCGCGGCGCTCGCTTCCTCCCGCGCCCCCGGGGACCGTGTGAAGGAGGGGGCTGAGGTCAGCCCTGCTCGCTGTAGACGGCTCCGGAGACGCCAGCATGATCTAGGCACTCAAATATTGTTTTCCACAGGGGAGGGAAGGAAAAAAAAAGAAGGGAGAAAAGCAAAGCCCGCAACCCAGAGACCATTGCTGTTGTGCTGATGATGAACAGAGGCCCCTCCTGCCCTGCCTGGGTTGGGACACAGCCATGGCCTGGCAGCGGCTGCTGGGGCTGATAACGGGTGACGCAGTGGCGGTGCTCTGGTCCCTGAGTGACGCCAGGGCTGGCCCTCACTGAGACCCTGGGGCCTGGCTGCGCTGCATCTCGCTGCCTTGGGGGGCCAGGGAGCTTTGCTATACACCCATCCCCAAAACATCATGGAGAGCCCTCCCCATGCAAACCATGAACACCATCTGTACCCCACAGGTGCAAGCCCTGTGCACCTGCATCCCACAGCCTTGGGGCATTGCCTCTTCGGGGGCCCCTTCCCAGGGACACAGGATGGAGGCATGGGTACAGGTCCCCACTTCACCAGCCCTGCTCTAGGCTACAAAGTGGGCCCTGTGGAGATGCTGCCCCAGTGCATGGAAAGGGACGGGCAGCCATATCCTGGCCTGGGACACCATCCAATCCTGTCCCACCCTGCCCCAGCACAGCCCAGCCTGTGCCCAGCCCAGCAGTGGTGACTCAGGCGATGCTCCTTACCGGCAGCCGCCCGGGATGATTCAGGTCAGAGGAATCTTGCTGTTCCCATCACAACTGTAGCCATGCCTGCAGGCAGCCCTGGCACAGCCCAGCTCTTGGGGTGCTGTGAGGACCTGGCAGGGAGACAGCCCCATGCAAGGAGACCCCCATCTCCCCGTACACCCCATCCCATGGAGCTCTCCTCCAGTGGCTCTCTCCATGGGTACTGAGGCCAGCACCACTCATACCATGCACAGCACATGGGGCAAACCAGGCACGTGTGATCAGTGCAGGGTGTGGGGGGTGTGGGCAGAGTGAGCGCAGAATTTGCTCCAGTGTGCAGCATGTCCTCCAGCCCTTTATAGAGAGGGTTCCCTTCTGTCACTCCAGGACAAAGCTGCATCATGAAGGGGTTCCATCCCCCTTCCAGCCCACGGACACCAGAAGGGGGTCCTCATGGAGGAGAGCCGCAGTGGGTGGCCACAGAGACACGTGTCCCAGCAGCAATTCGGCTGGGAACGGAGTGGCCCCGATGCACCCTGCCTGCTCCCCACCCCGAGCGGGTCGCAGAGACACAGAGGCAGCGTGGGCGAATGTGCTTTATTCCACAGCCGGAGCCCCGCATGGTGCCGGGGAGGGGGGGGAGGTGTCAGTCCATCACTCGAAGAAGAACATTCCAGGCGTCCGGTAGAGGCAGTGGGGCAGCCCCAGGGGGTAACCACCACCCCCCTGCAGCGGGATCGTCCCCCCCGTGCCCCACGTCTCCTTCTGCTCGCCCACCCCAAAGGGCGGCTGGCGGGGGGTTGGGGGGGCGGCGGTGGCAGCGGTGGGGGCCGCAGCCAGGAGATGCTCCAGCGCTGCACCACACGGCCGCTCATTCACACAGAAGCTCAGCGCCTGCACCCGGCACTGGTAGCTGCCCCCCAGCGCCTCGGGCCCCGCGCAGCCAAAGGAGCCAAACACGGGCAGGGGGGGCTGTTTGTAGCCATCGCCGTCGAGGAAGCAAGATGGGGGGGGCTTGCCCGTGCCCAGCAGGGTGCTGGGAAAGACGGGAGACACCTGCCCAAATGATTGGCCCAGCCCCATGGCGGGGGCCGCCGACCCTTTGCCCTCCAGATCGCCTGGGGGGGACGCAGTGTGGTCTGGGGAGTGCTGTGCGGGGTGGCCGGGCTCTGCGGGCAGTGGGTACTGACCTGGCCGGGGCAGCGGCAGTGCGGCCGGGGGTCCCCCGAAGGCAGTCTGCTTGGGCTGGGGGGGGGCGGGCAGGCGGCTCTCCTGGGGGACCCCGAGCGGCTCCTTGGTGAAGAATGGCGCTTTGGGCTGCGGGTGAGCGCAGATCTGCCCGGCACAGCCCGGCACCCCAACGCCCTCTGCCCTCTGCTCTGCTGTCGGCGATGCAAAGCTGCTCTCTGCTTTCCCCTCCTCCGGCAGTGGTGCCCGTGAGCGGGTTTTGGGGGTCTTCCTGCGTCCCTCATCCCCCTCACCATCCCGCAGGGCCCTTTTCCTGGTGAAGCGGCGGCGGCGCCGGAGGAAGCTGCCATTCTCAAACATGTTGTAGCAGTCAGGATCCAGAGTCCAGTAGTTGCCCTTGCCCGGCTTCTTGTCATCGCGAGGCACTTTGACGAAGCACTCATTGAGCGACAGGTTGTGACGGATGGAGTTCTGCCAGCCCTGCTTGTTGTCGCGATAGAAGGTGAAGCGGCCCATGATGTAGCGGTAGATGCCGCTCAGGGTGATGCGTTTCTCAGGAGTGCTCTGGATGGCCATGGTGATGAGGGCGATGTAGCTGTAGGGCGGCTTGGTGGCCTCTGCAGGCGGCGAGGGGCCGGGATAGGGGCTGTCCGGGGCCGTGCGGCCGCGCAGAGCTGCGGAGCCGACTGGGAGCTCCGGCTGCATCCTGCCGTCCTCACTCTGCTTGCCCGGCTCCGGCCGAGCCCGTTAAAACGTCCCAACGGTGTGGGGGCGGCGGGCCCCTCCTCTACGGTGCCGTGGGGCCGCCCAGGGCGGAGCGGGGCCCCATCGTCCAGCGCTGGTCCCTGCGGCCGGACGCGCAGCCGGGGCCGGCCCCGGGGCTGGGAGCCAGCGGGCTCGGGTTGGCACCGCTGCGGGCTTTTAATGGGTACGGGAGGTTCCCGGGGCACAGGGCTCGTCCCGCCCGCTCGCAGCACCAAGCTCCGTGTGGTGGTGATGTGGTGTGGAGTGGGGCAGTGCTGTGGGGTGGGAGGTTGCAGTGTGGGGATGGGGCTTCCCGGACAACCCCGTCCTTGGGGTGGTGCTGGATCCCCGCACCGTGCCGTGTCCCTGCTCTGTGCCATGTCCCCACTCTAAGCCAGATCCCCGTGCCACGCTGGGTGCACACACTGAGCCCAGCTGCCTGGGCACATCAGCTCTGGGATGCAGCACAGTCCCACACCCCCCGGGAGCCCCTTCACCCATCGCTGGGGGAAACTGAGGCATGGGCAGCAAGTGCTTTTGGGACGTGGTGCCCGGTTGTGAGGGCAGCTCCTGGGCACCTCGCTGCTGTCCACAGCCCTGCCAAAGGGCTGGGAAGCAGAGGGCAGGATGGGGCTCGGTGCAGCGGGAACTGCATGGCTCCAGACAGAGTGCTCAGCTCCTGATGTCCCTGCAGCACTTGGCTCTGCCTCACTCAGCTCCCCCGCAGACTGCACCGCAGCACAGCCCCAGCCCCAGCGCTGCAGTCAGCGGTACCGAAACACAACCTTTATTTCTACGGCTCACAACAGCAAGTCCCCACAGTGCGAGGCACCAGGACAGAGCTGGCTGTCCCCTGCTGGGCACAACTGCACCCAGCAGCCTCTGCTGGGCTCTTGGGGAATAAATACAGCGCTCCGTGCAGTGCCCCGCTCCAGCCAGCATTCATCTGCATCCGTCCCTGCTGAACATCCTGTGGCTTTACGGATTCGCCGCTGGGCGGCCGCGCGTCCCAGGCTTCGTGTCCCCTCAACTGCCCGGCTCAGGGCTGGCAGAGCTGCTGCAGGACGTGAGCGATGCGCCCGGGGGCTGCGGGTGTGCAGGGCTGGGGGCAGCCCCGTAGCAATGCAGGACCAAGGCGCTGGGCGTGGTGGAAGAGCTCTCGTGCAAACACCGGCTCCACCTGCGGGACACGGAGCTGCCGGGAGGATGGGGTCCATGCCTGTCACTGCGGATCCCCATCGCTCCACTGATGGGCACAGCCACCAGCAGCCCTGTGTGTACTCACGTGGGCCATGATGAGCTTCTGGAGATGGCGGCCGGTGCTGGTGGGGTACTCCTCACCAAAGCACAGGTGGATTTGGTACTGTGGGGCTGGCTGCCCATGGCTCAGGTACCTGCGTAGCTCTGCAACACCGCACAGGGATGGGACCGTCCCTATAGCAATCCCCCAAAGGATGGGACCTGTGATGGGGATGGGGCTGACGGTCCCCAGGGCTGCTTGGCAAGGCTGGCACTTACCCTCCAGGAACTGCTGCGTGTCCAGCAGCTTGTAGGTCTTCTCCCGCTCCAGCTTGTTGGGCCAGTCCCGGTGTGGGGCCAACGGCCCATTCCAGTACACCCTGCCCTGGCACTGCCGCTTCATGAAGACCCCCTCGGGGGCCACCCACAGCAGCACCCCGCGCTCCAAGTGTGGCAGCAGCCTCTCCAGAACCTCAGTCACAGCGACTGTCCACCCGCCACCTCCCAGTGAACGTGGTGGGGGGAATTCGATCTGCTCCATGCAGGAGGGGCCATAGGGACCCTCAGCTCGCGAGGCGATGCGGCAGCCCTCGGCCGTGCGGGTGGTGAGCTCCTTCACCAACACGTCGCAGTAGTAGAGGCGGATGTGCAGCCAGCAGTCTGGAGGAAGCAGGGGTCAGTGTGGGGCTGGGGGTCTCGGGGGGCTGCAGCCTGGCTGGCACAGCTCCTACCTGAGTGGTTGACATCCTCGGCAGGGAGGAAGGATGGGGCCCTGGGGAGCAGGTGGCTGCGGGTCGGGCTCCAGCCGTAGAAGATTCCCCGCACGTGGTACCCTGGGTTGGGGTGGAGGTGGTGTGGGGACCAGGAGAGCAGAGTGGCTCCTGCAGAGCAGTGATTGTACCCGTACTCAGTCCCACCCTGTGCCCCCCACATCACCAGGGCCCTTCTCTCACCTCGCTCTGCCGGATGGGCAGTTAGCAGGGGTAATGTGGGCATGTGGCACGTTCCTGCTGTGCCTCGGTGGCTCTCCTCAGCCATGTGGCCCTGGGGACAAGAGTAGCCACAGTGAGGGCAATGAAGGATCCTGAACCAGCTTCTGCTACCCCTGGACCCCAGGTATGGGGAACCAGAATGGATGCTGGATGCGGGCAGGGGGAGCAGACATAGGAAGAGGGGATTTGGGGTCTCACTTCCCTGCAGGCCCCCAGGTGGAGGAAGGCTCACCTGTGAGTCTTTGCTGGTTGTGGGCTGCATTCTGCCATCCTTCTCATCCTTCTCTGCAGGGAACAGGGAACAAAACACTGAGCCCCAAAAACAGCACAAGGAAAGCCAGCCCAGTCCTGACCCCAGCACAGCACTTTGCCTGAGCACAGCCCAGAGCTCTGCAGAGGACGAGGAGCAGGGAAGAAGGGGATGGAGCAGTGATGCCCATAGGATGTGGGAGACAGGGGAATGGCACAGCAGCCTGGCAGGGGATACCTGCATCCCGAGTGCCGTCGCACACAATCTGGTACACCTTGTAAGGTTCAGAGATGTCCAGCTGGCTCCGCTCGGGCACCTCCTGGAAGTCGGTGCTTTTGTTGAGAGCGCAGCGCAGCCGCGTCTTCCAGGTGGATGGGTCCGCCTTGTCCGTGCCCTCGTGGTATTTGCCCTTGTAGACGGCCCAAGCCTGCGGGAAGAGCGGGGGCTGCGCAGGGCACGGGGATGGGAGGAGCCCGGGGGGTGGGTAGGAGTCCGGAGCTGGGGGCTGGAGGGGATGGGGGTTCGAGGGGGCACAGAGCCAATGCGGAGAGGATGGGGGGAGGCTAGGGGACTGGGCATCGGGGGCCTGGGGGGGTGAAACGGGGCTGAGCAGCGGGGTCCGGAGGTGCGCACGGTGTCGGGGGGCGCACGGGGTGAGCACAGCGAGGAACGGAGGCGCACGGGATCGGTGCTGCTGCGGGGATGGGGGGACGCGGGGGTGGGCGGTGGGGACCGGGTGGGCACAGGGACGGCCTGCGGGGATTAGGGGGGTTGCAAGAAAGCGGCGAGGCGGGGATCCGAGGGAAGCACGGGGCGGTGCAGCGGGGATGTAGGGGGAGTGAGCGCACGAGGCCGGTGGAAGGGCTCCGGGGGGGCTCTGGGAGAGGCCGTACCCTGAAGAGAGCGGCGTCCTGCTGCTGCCGGTAGTCCTGCTTGGCCGCGTGCTTCCAGGGGATGCGGAAGATCGTCCGCTCGCGGTTCTCCCAGCGCAGCCCCGGGTAGCGGCCGCTGTCGATCTGCGCGATCAGCCACTCCTTCAGCCGCATGGGAGACCCCGGCTCCGCCATCCCGGCTCCGGCCCGGCCCGGCCCCGCCGCTCTCGGGAACGTGCGGCGGCCCTGAAAGCGAAAGCGCGGCGGGACCCGGCCTTTCACTTTCCCTTTCCTGACGCCGCTTTCGGTTCGCTGCCGCCCCGGGATCCCGGCCCGAGGGGAGGGCACAGCGCACTCGGGGCTCCGGGACACGTCGGGACACCTCGCTTCCCGCAGTACCCTGAGGCTGTTCTTGGACTCGTGACGCTTTCCTGTCCTTAAGGAGCTGTTTTCCCCTTTTCTCCCGGTTTTGGGAGCTGGGCACGTCCCTTTTTTCCTGCATGCCCCCACACTGCCCAAGAATGGACTCGGTCTCTTGTCCAGCGATAGGATGAGAGGTGATGGCCTCACGCTGCACCAGGGTCAGGCTGGATATTAGGAAACATTTATTCTCAGAAAGAGTGATAATGCAGTGGCACAGCTGCTCAGAGAGTGGTGGGGTCACCATCCCTGAAGGTGCCCCAGGGCCATGGGGATGTGGCACTGAGGGTCGTGGGCAATAGGCATGGTGGGGTGGGCTGGGGATAGACTTGGGGATGGATCATGGAGGTCTTTTCCAAGCTACCCAATACCACGGAGCCAGGCTGGTGCGAGCTGCTGCGAGCAGTGATGATGGCTCTACCAATTCTTTCCTCCACTGCACTGTGCACTGTGCCTGGGGGGCTGACACTGCAGCTCTGTCACCACCCCATTAGGTTTCATTTCCAGTTCTGAGTAAGAGAAAGTTACCTCTAGGCCAGGGACGATGTTTCCAGCATCAGGGTTGTTCTGAGCTGGAAATCCTCAAAATGAATAAGCGGTGACACAGTGCCAGGCTGTGGCCTTCCCCTCCCTGGGGTTTCCCACAGGGTGTGGGGATGGGGCACAGCCACGTGGCACAGGGCACAGCCAGGTGCCAGTGCTGCACAGGGCAGTTTGGGGACAGGGGGCAGGAGCCTGCTGGCCCTGGCAGTATACAGCCATCATGCTTGGGCCAGGCCGGTGTTACAGGGACACTGGGAGGGGATGCAGAGCACAGGAAGTTGCTGTGGCCTCCCCACCACAAACATGGGATTTCCAGTAGCGGCTCAGATGTGGGCTGAGCACCAGCCCTGTTCCAGCCCCTGCAAGGTGGTGGGGCATGGGCAGCACCTGGCCCCCTCCTCACCCCTTACTGGTATGATCCAGGTGCTTTATTCCATGAAAACGGAGCAGGGGTTTTGCAAAGGAGGATTCACATTACTTCTTTGTGCACTGAGATGGTTCCAAAGGGCTGCTGCCATCTTGGTGGCTTGCACAAATTGGTTCCAAGTCCTCAAACTAATCTAAGCTCATCAGGCAGATCCAGCATGGCCATAACAGCCCTTATCAGCTGGGGAATTCTCCACTCCTCACAGAGATGGTGACGTGCAGGACCCAGGGATGCAATTAGCGTGCCAGCAGGGAAGATGCTCAGCAGCCTATTCCCCTACTGTGCTGCTCCCTGCACAGGGAAGGTGAAGCTGCTTAACCCTTCCACTTTCAATGCTGAAATGCCTTTTAAAAAGGAGTCAAACATTAACTCACATCTAACACTGCCCTTGCCTGTATTTTTCCAGTTGTGCAAACCGGATCTGCCAAAATAAATGTTTTGCAGTGCTGCAGACCTGGACCTGGAGGTGCTGCTGCTCTGCACGTGGCCTTGATGTGGGTTTATTGCACGGACCAGGAAATCCTGACTGTTAATGCAGAATGTCTGGGTGCAGAGTTGCCAGGCAGCGCTGGGCTGGAGCCACCCCACATCTCCTCACTGTGGGGTGAGGGAGTGGGGAAGCAGTAGGGCAGGGATCTGCAGAAGTGGTGTGGGGTGGTGCTAAGTTACTGTAACGAAAGTGAATGGGACATCAAGAGTGCCCAAAAGTGTGGCAAAGCCCCTGTGCCAGGCACCCTATGTGGCTCCAGGCACCCCATGCAGCACCTGCAAGCATAAAGGGGCCCTGGAGACACCCAGCAGCCAGCACCTGGCAGCCCAGCTGATGGCTCACCTGGCAGCCCAGCATCATCCCCACCTGTAGCTGCCACGGTGTGAGGTGTTAATAGCACAGGGCTGGGGGAAGAGCAAGGTTTGCAGCTCCTGGTGTGGGTCAGCTTTCCTGCAGCTCCCAGCAGGCTCCAGCTCTGTGGTGCAAAGAAGGTGCAGCAGAACAATGTCCATGTGAGTACTTGTTTGCTCCTGCCTAGCCACACAGCCCTGTCCCCTGCAGCAGCAGTAGGGCTCCTGGCCCCTGTCCTGAGCAGGGCTTTTGTGAGCAACCTCTGCTCTGCAAACTGGAGACACGGGTGTCTTCTGTGGGTGATGCTGCCAGGGTATGGCTGGGTGCTGCTCACATAACTCCAAGCTGCATTTGTAGGGTTGTAGCTGGGGCCCCAACAGCAGCACAGGCTTCTCATCTCCTGGCTGGGAGAAGAGAATTATCCTATGCCAGGAACCTTCTGCCCCAGCTCCCCCTCTGTGTCCCAGGCAGGTCAATCTGCATTACACAGAAATTTAATACTACAAGGACATAGAAAGTATTTAAGCAAAATGGCTTAAGGCTCTGCTTTAGTGAGGTCTGGCGAGGTTAAACATTTATTTCCCACCATTTAAAGATTGTGCCCTGGGATCAGTGGGAATGCGGTGCAATGAACACTGAAAGCTGCAGTGTTTGCTTGAGGCTTGTGCTTGGCTGGCCTGGAGCACCAGTACAGCATGATTAGCTGCTCCTGTATGCCCCTGCACTGCAGCCACCTTGGTTCTGGAAGCTTGCTGCTGCTGGTGGGAAAACTGCTCCGAGGAGTCAGAGAGATCTCCTGCACCTCGTGTGCCCCTGAGGCCCATGCAGCTGGTGTTGAAGTGCTAAAGCTGCTGTCAGCATCACCTGGGTGCTGGGAAGCCCTATCTGTCACTGCCGTGGTGAACTGGGAACTGTGATCTGTGTTTCTGCCAGACGTCCCCACACACCAGGCACTAATGGACTGACCCTGCAGAGTACAGCAGTGTGAATGAATCCCTCCCCCAATAGCTGAAAGCCAGGACAGAAGATGGCACGCTTGAACCCAGAGAGGAGAAGGAGCTGGGCTCATTGTGGCTGTGCGATGCGGCACTTCTCTGCTGCTGCAGCTCCTTAGTCTTTACCAGGCCATGAGGTGATCCGGGCTGGGATCACTTCAGACAAGCTGGAATGCAGGAGAACGTCCTCTTCACCCGTAGCAGGAAGGGAGCAGTGCTCTTGATGTCCCTGGCTCTTGGTACCAGTCCTTGCCGAGCTCCCTCTGCTTGGGATGCTCTTCCTCTCCCCACTGGTAGCAGGGCCTTGATTTCTTCCTCGTCATTGAAAGGGGACGTCCCATACCTCTGCTTCAGGTGCCTGCGCATCTGGGGAAAGAAGGAGAAGCAGAGTAGCATGCCTGGATCAGAGTGTGAATCCAAGCTTGCAAGCAAGGGGCGTAGGGAAGGGATCTGATGCACTGTCCCTACTCTGTCCTGCATCCCACCTTGCGGGCTGCACTGCCGCTGAACTCCTCCAGCTGCTGCTTGAAGCCAGGGTTGGGGTTGGCAACAGGTCGTACGCTTCTGATGGCCTCCAGCACCTCCTGAGAGCTCATCTCTGTGACAGCCATGACGTAGGCAACGACGATGGTGGTGCTGCGGGAGATCCCAGCCAGGCTAGCAAAGGAAAGAGCATGTGGGCCACCATCTGCAGTGTGCACTCCTGGCTGCTGCCCTGACTCCATGCCTGCCCCTTCTTCCACCCCTGTGCTTCAGCTATTTTGGTTCCTCTTCTCAGCAAACTTGCTCTCTGGGAAGCCAAAGCCCTTCCAAGGTCCTCTTGATCAGTGTCTATAAATACAACCTGCTCCCCAGGGGAAGTGAAAGCAGCAGCCGCTGCCTGGAAGCCTGACCCAAACTGCTCCCTTCCCACTTGCTCAACTGCAGCAAAAATCTGCCCCTCTCTAGTGGTTCTCCATTCCCCAAGGGGCTCCTCAAATCCTGCTCAGCTGGGGGTTGCAGCTGAGCCTGAGAGTGGATCCTGAGTGGGTTCATGGACACTGGGACTCTTACAGACATGCACAGCTAAAGCAGGGGTTCTACCAGCAGGACCACTTATGTGGGCTTGGCTGTGCTGTGCTGAGAGAACACGGTGTTACATGTGGATAAATAAGTTTTACCAGTGGACGAGGCAGTTCCCTCCTTGCAGGCGACACTGGTGGATAAAACTGATGCACTCCTTGAAATGCTTCTTGCTAGCAGGAAAAAGAGAACAAGCAGAATAAGGACTACATGTGTGGAACCAGATTTTTAGGCTGCAGGTGGTGCAGCCCTGAGAGTTTGAGGACAAAGCACTAAAATAAAATGCCTGTTACTTTACAGGCACCATCACTAGCTGCTGAGACCCAGGCAGCTCAGTGCTCATTTCCCAAGGAGAGGTCCATAGCCCTCTTTGGCTGTTCGCACTCTGAACATGCCACTGCTCTTGGCCAGCTCTGTGCCTTCTGCTCTCCAGGCAGCTCTGCCTGGGTTTTCAGGTGGGATGCTTGTTCCTTCTCTGCATCCCATTGTGCTGGGCTCACTGAAAACTCACATGCTGGCCTCAGGTGTGTCTGGCAGGGGAATGCGGAGGTAGGTGATGTCCTGCAAGACATAAAAGGAACACAAGAAGCTCAGCCACCGGTGCCTTGCCCCTGAGCTCCTCTTGGGCCTTGTTCCCACAGAACAGCTTTGCTCTGAGACAGGGCCATGCTCCCCCACAGCAATGCAGCAGGGAGAGCAATGGGGGATGAGAGCTTGAGGGAGAGGGTGGAAAATGAGATAAGGTTGGAGAGCTGGAAATCTTCTCATCAACATTCAAGGCCAGGTTATATTCGTGAACCAGCAAGCTTCCCAGAGAGCAGAGGGGCTGCCTCATTCCTCTGAACTGCTGCTGGGGAGAGGGGAGAGGTGGATGTGCCATGGGATGCTCACAGTTGGAAGGGGAAGATGCTGCAACATGGAGAGAGCTGCAGAAATCTGCATGCTGGCATCGGGCAGAGGATCCTACCTGCAACAGGGGCTGGGGAGATTCATGGATTGACACGATGTGGGTGATCTTGTTCCGGCTTAGCTGCTCCAAGTCTTTGGCATCTAAAGGATAAAACTTGATATTAGCTCGTATTTATTTCTCACCCTCCTCTTCCCACAAGCACGTCCGCTGTGCTCCTGCAGACAAACCAGCACGCAGAGCTGTGCTCTGGAGGAACAGCTGCACTACACCCCCTGCGTGCATCTACGCACTTGGTAACACAGCAGACAGGCAACTACGCAAACACTTCTTGGAAACCTGGGAATGCAAACCCAGGGATACCAAAACAGAGACCTACTCCCTCCAAAGGCACTTGACCTTGCTGCTTGGGTGAAAATTCATTTCTGCATGGGAAAACACTCTCTTATGCAAGCAAGCAGCTTTGCACTTGCCTCTACTTGTTCACTAGCTTAGGGAGGAAAGAACATGCCCTATGTTGACGTTGCACGCGTGCACGTGTAGTAAGGGGACTTGCTGCAGCCTGGCTGATCTGCTTTATCTTACAGACTGCAGGAGCGGGGCTGCAGCCTTTCACATCAATGCTGTTTGGCATGACCAGAGGGATCTGCAGAAAACAACTGCAATTGCATGCACGGAGATCAGGTATCCTCAGCTTTCTGGGGAAATAACCTACTTTTTACTAATGCTCCAGCATCCTCTGGTTGTGATTCTGGTCACTGGTCTAGCACAAAAGTTCTGCTGGGAGCAGAGCCTGTTCATCTTGCTGGCTAAGCAGCTTTGTAGCTGTTTTCCTTTCGTGACACGACCAGCTGATGCTGCACAGGCTGCTGGAGATGGGTACTAATATTTTCTCCGCTCATGGTTTTTGGGTTTCTAAACTTCAGAGTGGTGTAAAACCTTGGCCCAAGAATCTGAAATACAATATGCTAATGGCATGATGTGAATATTTAATAGCGGGGAGCCTCAAGAGATGTGCTTCATATTAAGAGTCCATGCTGTGCATGCAGGAGGAGGAGGTGGGGACCCTCTGTCCATGGACTCACACATCAGCTGTCACCTCCCCACCCAAGTCCAGCAGTCAGCATGACAGCAATTAGTGACATGTCTATAAAGGCTTATTATGGCTGGAAAATGCTTTCAGTTGGAGAAAATGCCTCTATGAGCTGTCAGAGCTTAATTTAGCAGGCTCTAAATCTTTGTCATCACCCTGAATTTCTTGGTGGAGAAATGCGTTGGTGGCATCTGGCCAGGCCCAAACACTGGTGGTTGCTTGCAGTAACCTCTGTGATGGGCCTGCAGCTGGGTCCTCCCCATGTGCTCCCTGCAAGGCTCCCAGACAGTATCTGCCAGAAGCAGATCCTCCAGCCCTCACCCCAGAAACACTCCCTTTGGATGCTGAGGAGTGTTCTTGTGGCAGGCTGCTGCCAGCCAGGCTGCCCCGCCATTTCCAAGACATTTCCTTGGCAATTCATGCCAGTGTTTTTGAATGCTCTCAGCACTTCCAGCCGGGATAAAGCCATCAAATGAGCTGTTGGGAAGGCAGGAGCTCTGATAAATGCTGTTTTTTTATGGCAGATGCTAGTCCTTAGTCATGAGTGACTGACAGTGACAATCCATTATAACAGTGAATTGGTGTCAGAAAACGTGACTTGGCCTGTAGGAGCAACACCCAAATGTGTGCGGCCCCATTCTGCCTGGCTGCTAAAATGTGGGGAAGCTGAGGCTTTTGGGAAGCCTTTTGGTCTCAAACAGTAATGTCCCTGCTCTGCTTCGTGTCACAGCAGAGGTACATCTGCTGGGGCCTTCCCGAACAAGGTCGTGGCCCTGCTCAGCCCCTGGGTTCCTGAGATCTCAGGGAAGCTACAATAGAGAGAACAGGATGAAAAGCAGCTTTTATCCATCAGCAGGAAGAAGAAGCCCCTGAGCCTTCCCAAAGCAGCTGGGACAAGCCCTGGGAAGCCAAGCAGAGCCCACCCGAAGCAGCACAGGCAGAGGCACCAAAGGCATGCAGGTGGGGAGCTTCCTTGCAGCACGAGACCGTGAGGTCAGAGAAACTCTGCGGGGGCTTCTCAGCAGTGTGGGGCTTCTCAGCAGTGTGGGGCTCTGCTTACCAATGAAGTTTCCCAAGTAAAGGCCAGGGAGGATCTGCAGGACACAGAGAAAGATTTCAGTCTGTAAGCATTACCATGGTACCCAGTGCACTAGGGTTCCCCTGTCTGCCTTAGCAGTGTTCACTACATGCTTTCCCTGCCCTGGACTCCATCCCACCTCATGCTGCTGGCTGGGCTGTGTCCACTGCACCTAATCCTGCCCTGACAGAGCTGCATGGACGCAGGCTCCTGCACATGGGGCTGACAGCACAGTGGGGTATGGGATGAGCACAGCTGCTCAGCAATATCTGTGATTCAGAAGCAGAGCCTGCAGAGGAACTTGAGCCAGGGTAAGCCTGGCCTCAGTCAAAAAGGCAAAAGTTCTGCCATTAAAATGAGTGCCTAAAATCACCTCTCTGCTGTCACCTCACAGTCTCAAGGCCTGGAGCAGCAGCAGTACCCAGGGAAGGACAAGATCTAGGATAGCCCTGATCAGTACTGGCAGAGTAGGGGAGTGATCAGACATGATCTCCCACAGCCCCAGCTCTGCTCTGCTCTACAAGGAATCCATTTCCAATAGGCCAGGGACAGATTGCTCTGGACACTGTATCTTAAGTTTATTTGCCTTGAGAAATTTCATTTCTTTTGATGAAAAGGCAATTACTTGACAATGCCTCTATTAACATTATTCCAGATTACAGAAGTGAGATACCATGCATCCATGCCTACCTTCAGTTATTTTATATTTTCCCTCTTTCCCATCACGGAAAATTAGGATTAAAAGCCTGTACACACTTGTGTGTGGCTTGGTTCACTTCCAGCTTTTCTCTGCTGCATGTTTGGTAATGCTTGCACTTATTCACTTATTTCACTGCTCAGGCTTGGAAACATTTTAATTGTTCTAACAGCTTTAGGAGGTTTTTTGTTTTGTTTTTTTACAATTCCTAACATTTTAGATCAATTTTATATTGATGGGGTGTCTGTAACTTTCAGCAAGTGCACTGAAAATGAGATGGTAAAAGAGCCATTTAGCAAGGCCAGCTCCCAAGGGCAGGACAATGAGCCATGAATAATGGCACATTCCTCTCCCCAGTAACTTTCTGATACGCTCCTTGCTGAATAAAATGGGGCATTGCAGCTCCATCTAAAACACTGAAAACTTTCCCAGATAACGAGTGGCTATAGATTGAAGGGGATTATTAAAGCAGAAAGATGATGTCTCTCCTCACCCCTGACCCAGAAAAAGCTCAAACAACCAAAAAATAGAGCCTGTCCCCTCCATTGAGCGATGTTCTGAGCACTGTGCAGAGCCCTGCGCCAGCAAGCACGGGGTGGCACCATCAGCCTCTGGGTCTAACAGAACTCCTTGGCAAGTGATTGGAAGCTTGTGCCTTTCTTTTAAAGGTGTTAGAAAAGTTTCTTGCCTCCGTCGGAGGGGTTTGTTGTGACCTCCTGTCCTCTACACTTTGCAGAGTGCCCACCAGTCCTGACCAGCAGTCAAAGCATGCATGCCACAACTGAAGTGGCTGGAGGTGGCTGTCAGGACGAGCCCTTGCTGCAGCCTCACACAGCGTCCCTGCCTGCTTCTTATTTTGCTCACCCTGCAGGTAAACAAGCTTTTCCACCAGCTGTGCCTTGTGTCAGTTTCAGCATCAGCGTGGTGGCTCCCTGGCACACGTAACACTGCTCAGCATCACAAACAGAGCCTGACCAGCATCTCCCACCTCCAGCGCTGCAAGCCTGTCCTGCAGCACCCAGCTCTGCAGAGCTGCACCCCAGCACTCCCTTTACCTTGCTCATGCCATTTCCCATGGTCTGCAGCACGTGCCCTGGGATAGGTGGGGAGCAGGTGTCCTTGTCCCCGATTCTACTGTCCTCTCTGTCCCCAGGTGAAGCTGCTGTCCGCGCTCCGGATGCTGCCTGGGAAGGTTTCTGTCATGAAGAGCTCGCTCCTGTGGGACAGCTGCTCGTGACAAGGGGTTCGATTGCAGCACAGAGCCCAATCCCTCAGAAGAAGAAGAGACAGAAGAGACCTCGTCCGCTTCCCCTGCGTCTTCTGCTAAAGCCCTTCCCCAGCACCCGCCTCCCTCGCACCGACTGCTCCTTCTTACCGGGAGGAGACAAAGGAGGAGAAACTCCACCTCTGAGCGGTGGTGTGGGAGCGCTGTGCTGTCTGCTGACAGCCGCTGCTGCCAGCGCAGACGGACAAGGCTGCAGTGTGAAGAGAAGAACAAAACCTTTGTCCTGTTTGATCAAGGGCGGTCTGTTTGGCCCAGCAGCATGCCCGGCCCTCGCTGTGTCAGTGGTGGGGGATGAGACCCCTATAGACCAGCAGGCTGGCAGTGACAGCTACTCCACATCTACCCGGGGGGACGAAGCTTCCCCCGGGTGGACGTGGAGTAGCTGTCACTGCACTGATGGCACAGGGCAGTGCCATCACCTGTCCCTGAGTGCTGCTGACGTGGCTGCAGAAAGCCCAGTCCTGGCTCTGGGCCTGGCTTAGCCTCTTATTCAGGACACCCAGTCCACCCACAACCCCATGCTGCACCCACCCCACAGACAGCTGGGTGTCACAGGGGCAGGGGACGAGCTCACAACATTCCAGGCACAGCTCCAGCACAACCACAGCACCCTGCGGCCGGGGCGGGGCCTGCGGGGGGGGGCGGGTGAGGCCTACCGAGGGGGTGAGGCCTGCGGGGTGGGGCCGAGGCCTACGGTGGGGGCCGAGGCCTACCGAGGGGGCGAGGCACCGCGGGGGGACGTCGAGGCCTACAGTGGGAGGCGTAGGCCTGCGGGGGGGGCGTAGGCCTGCAGGGGGGTTGCGGCCTGCAGGGTGGGGCCGAGGCCTACAGGTGCTCCTTAGGCCCGAGTGGAAGCAGGCCCGGGGCGCTGCGCCGCCGTTGCCATGGAGACGGCGCGGCCTGCTGGGCCCGCAGCATGGCGGAGCTGGCGGTGAGCGTTGCCCGGCTACCTACCGCTATGCCGGTCTGGCCCTGCTCTCCTCACCGCTTTTCTTCTCTTTCCTCCCCGCAGGCCGCCGCCCCTCCCCGCGTTCCGCAGAGGACAAAGCAGCGCCCGGTCGGGCTAGGCCGCGCTGCCGGTTCTACCCGCGGTGTGGCCGCCCCGCTTCCACTCGGCCGTGTCCGCTTCAAGTGCGGCCTCTCCGGGCCCGTCCTGGATGTGCTGCGCTGCCGGCCCGGCTGGCAACAGGCGAGGAAGTAAGCACGGCGTATTGCTAGGCCGCAGGGCTGCTGCTGGCATCCATCCCTGGGGGGGGCGGCACGGGCAGCACGGGGTCCCTGGGGGACGCTGAACCGCTGGGCTTTGTGCCTGTGCCAGAGCTGTGCCACCCCATTGTGCCCATAGAGCCTGTAGGCTGCGCTGGGCATGGAGGTGGGAAGTGCTGTAACCTCACATTTAAAACAGGGCGTGCATCCCACAGCCCTGCTTGGGGATGGAGAGCTGTGGAGGGGAGCAGAGGCTGCACAGCACTGCAGGTGGAGGTGGAGGTAGAAGTTGTGGTGGTGATGTGAACACGCACTGTGCTTCCTGCATGGGCCCTTTCTCCCCAGTGAGGAGGAGTGGGATTTCCTCTGGTGCGATGTCAGTTGGCTTCGGGAGAATTTTGACCACGTGTACTTGGAGGAGCACGTTCGTATCTGCCACTTTCGCAATCACTATGAGGTAAGGAGTCCTCGAAGGTGGAGTGAAACTAGGAGGGTATGGGGAGGTATTTTTAAGCTGTCAGTAAGTTTCCATGAGAAGCAGTTATGAGTGGAAATACCTGGTAATGTTTTCCACTGTGAAAAACTGGCCTCTTTCTTACAGCTCTGATAAACCATTGGTATGTGTCAACATCCCCTGTTTTGGGAAGGGCTTTGCTTGGGAACCTGACACTTTGCTTTGCTGTGTTCCCAGTCTGGTAAACACCAACAAGTCTGTGACTCTTGAAAATAACAAAACCAACTGTGGCACGTTAGGGGGTCTGGTTAAAGACCAGACGTTCCCCTTGGTAGGTAAAGGTGCATTTCCTGATATAGAGAAGTGGAAACTCCTGCAGATCCAGTTCATTAGGATCAGCTGCATGCGTATACCATTAACCTGGCAAAAGTACATCTAAGGATGGTGCATTGCAACAGGGCCTCCAAAATGGCAGTATTTTGGGGAGCCTCTTCTGTATTTATGAGCAGATTAAATTGCAACACCTAAAAATCTTACATCTACGAGGCCTGCTACCAACCTCTCCTGCATGTCGCTTCCAGTCCTGTAAGGGCTGCTGAGAAGCACGTGTGCCTTCTCCAAGCCCTCATGCTCACTAGTGTTAGTGCAAATGGAGACTGGCAGTGCTTTATAACACTCATCTGCAACCTGCAGCAGTTCAAGAGCCCATATACTTCCAGCTCTGCTGGTTGTGCCACAGGAGCAACGATCTCAGGAGTGGATTGAGTTAAGTCTGCCTGTGAACATGATTACAGCTTTTGGTGTGGGCAGTTCTGAGTGGAGCTGTGCTGGAAATGAGTGTGCTGTCTGTACTGAAAGGGTACGTTAGAAACGGTAACACATGGGTCGGATGACCTGCTCTGTTCTGGCTTCCCTGTGTTCGTGCAAAGATTAAATAGAAAATTGAAATCAAGCCTTATTTGCACAGAGCAAACGCAGTTCTCAGTCGTGTGTATGTTTATTTACTTTTTCCCTTGCAGAAGTAGTAGTACAGGTAGTCCCCAGACATCACCAGGAGCATCTCAAGTTCAATGAAAGCAAGCCAGTCTGCATGAGCATCTGTTGAGCCTAACCTTATATTTCTCTTTCTACCCAGCTGAGTCGGAAGAACTACTTAGTAAAGAACCTGAAGAGGTTTCGGAAGCAGTTAGAAAGAGAAGCAGGAAAGCTTGAGGCAGCAAGATGTGACTTTTTTCCAAAGACCTTTGAATTGCCTTCAGAGTACCATTTGTTTGTGGAAGAATTTCGCAAGAAGCCTGGCACCACTTGGATCATGAAACCGGTAAGTGTGCGATCGCTTTCCTCAAGTGAGACAAAGATGAATGGATGCCTTCATTCTGTGGAAGGAGAGGAAAACATGCAGGAAACCCACAGGAAGAACTGCATGTAGCAGGGTAGCTAGGAGCAACAATGCTTCTGGCTGGTTTCCTGGCCAACATGTACTACCCAGACATTCCTTCTTGTGTTACAGTTCATTTCAGTAATTGAAAATCAGCTCAGTTTATTTGTAGAGGCAAAGTTAATTCAGTACTGATGGTACGGAATACTGGATTTTTCTGTGGAGGAACAGATTGTGCTCCTAGGGATTCTCACTGTGTGGTTATGGCCAAGTTCATGCTCTTAAATCTTTCAGTTCAGCTGCAGGTGTACAAGAGCGCATGTGTGTGCAGGGCAGCTGTTTAATTGGGCTTGTTGTTAAGCAGTGTTCTAGGGCAGCCCCCAAAGATGGAGCTATGAAAACATCTGTTTGGTTTCAAGGAAATCCCATTGTGTTAAATGTCAGCCCTTGTAAATCCAGCCAATTTACTGAGTGGACTTTCATCCTGAGAATATTGAGAGATTACAGAAGATTCCATGAGCAGCCTGGAGTGCAAGCTGGGGTGGATTTTGTTAATGTTAGCTTTTCCGTGCTCTACCATGAAGTGCAGCCTTGTGCTCTGAATCCTGTTTGTCCCACAAAACCTGTATCTGCATGGAATAATGGTGAATGGAGCAATTTCCAATTTGACCAGTGTCCTAGGAAGCATTTCTAAAGGAAATACAGCAATACAACAAAAATCTGACAAGTGCTTTTGCAAGGTGACTCAAGCCATTTAACATCGTGAGTATTAGGCCAGGGTATGTAACTGAAAATCTGTTCATCTGTGAGTCTTGTGAGAGGACTGCTGCTTTGCCTTGTGCAGGAGATCTGGCTTGAATTCTGGGACAGAACAACTTGCCTTACGCTGAGAGTCAGGCCTTTCAGTAAGGGCACTTCTCAGAAGTGAATGGGAGGTAATCATGCAAACTAACATGTGAATTGCAGCCAGGAGGATATCAGCTAGTGATTATCCAACTCTACGCATAGGAATGTGTTAATTGGCAACAGAAAACTTTATATTAAGCTGATTTTTATGCGCACAATCTCGATTAAGATGGTAAAAAAAACAAGATACAGTAAACAAAGATATGTGTAAATATGGTGATGACTGGGATTTTACCAACACCTTAAATGAAATAGTTTGGGGCTGACTTCAAAACTCGCAAACAAGTAAAAATAAACTCTGTTACTTGGTCTGTGCTCTTGAGCAGCCCTGTGTTGTGATGTCTCAGGCTGCCTACTCCCACATTTGGTACTGTAGGTCTAAACATGCAGAATGGAAGATCCTGAGACTGCAGAAGGCCCTCTGTGGAGCCTTCCTTCTCAGGTATTTTATCCAGGCCACTTATTCACACACGGTGTGAATTAGGCTGTCCTCAGGATTGTTCTGCTCTTGCTTGCCATCATTCTTTGACATTGTTCATGACTTCTCTGTTCAATTAAGTTCTTCTTTAGCGTACACAAATTTAAGTGTGACTTTAAAAAAAAAAAACTTCCAACAACATATGTTGTGTTAGATATATTTCTGCAAGCATGTGACAGAGTTTGTTTATTTGTCTCTGTGGAACTTTCCTGTAGGCTGTCTGCCTGCTCTGCCCTTTCCACCAGGAATTCTCCTAACACTTCTAAATCTGAGTGTTCAGCATTAGAGTTCTCGTCAGATGCCTTCCTTTTCTGCCTGTCTCCATAACATTAAATAAATGTGCTTGCATACAAACAGATGATGAATCAGGCTATGCGGGGCTTCTGTGCTGAAATTGTGGGGAACAGCAGGAAATCCTAATGCTAAATAACTCGGCTTCTCCATGCTGTAGGTTGGCAGGTCACAAGGGAGAGGAATTTTCCTGTTCCGAAAACTAAAGGATATCTTCGACTGGAAGATGGTGAGCATGAATGTGTGTTCTGTTTGGGGAATGCCCAACAGACACTTTGTTCTTTTTCTGTTCTTTCATTCCTTTCTTTCCATCAAAGAGTTCTGGTTTCCTGTGCTGATCTTGTGTGATATTCCTTCACTATTGCTCTGTTCACTGTAAGTCCCTTCCTGCACATCTCCCCCCAGTAGTTGGATGCTGTATGTATGTTAACTGTTGAGTCATGGCCTGAACCAATGATTGAGCACCTGGGGAAAGGACCTGGTCAGCCCTGGGAGCACAGGTGAAGGCAGTTCAGCTGTGAGACAGGAAGGAGTGGAGCCTGGCTGTACCTTTCTTAGAACTCATTTAAGGGCTGACTGCCACTGGGGAAGGATCTCTGGTTGGAGATCCCTTCTTTGTGGAGTTCCTGTTGTGAGCCTAGATCTTCAGAGACAGGTGAGCACTTTTTCTTTAGCAACATCTTCCTATTGCGCTGGTCCCTTTGCTGTTACGCTTTATCTGGGCTTCTGAAATGGAGACAGGGCTCCCAGAAAAACTGTTTTTTCACCATCTTTCCCATATACAAGCTTGAAAGGGGAAATTGCATGTTTGTTTTCCCACAGGATGGTGGCCGCACCAATGAGCAGAAGGATGAAACACAAGTGGAGACTTATGTAGTTCAGCGATATATTGAAAATCCATACTTAATTGGAGGTGAGATGCCCATGTAAGCCATTGCTTTTCTGTTGTAGGGAAAAAGCTATCCTAACCTATGGTGTTCTTGCTGGGTAGACAGGACTCCATGTGTAGTTCTGTGTGCTGAACCACATGTGGCTCCCTTTCTGAAGTTAAGAGTTTCATTAAGTTGTATGGCCAAATATTTGTTAAGCTAATTAAAGGGATGCATGCTTACATCTTGCATTGCTTTTCCAAAACTTGTGAACTGCCACTGACTTGGAGTAGTGGTCCCACTGGTGTTTTTAATCTTAAATAAATGTTCAAAAAGCCCACGATAAAGTCACCAGAAAAAAGTCCTTTTGTGTGTATGTTTAGATAGAAACTGATGTTAAGTGCATCTAAGACTAGGTAGCTGTATCAGCAGGTGGATTATATGATATTTTTCTGTTCTTTGTAGGTCGAAAGTTTGACTTAAGAGTTTATATTCTAGTGACATCTGTAAGTGCAAACTGCTGTTTATATCAGAACTGGGTTTTTTCATCTTAGTTCTCAGTTGCTCTTTTCCTTTTTTCCCAGTACAGCCCACTGAAGGCCTGGTTATACAGAGATGGATTTGCTCGCTTTTCTAGTATGCGATTCACTCTGAACAGCATAGATGATCACTGTATCCTACCTTTCTGTGTGAGCTATGAGAACAATAAGGGGGTAAGGGGTAAGAATAGGAATGTATAATTTTGCTGCTTAGTATGAGATGTCTCAGGTGAATCTTGTTACTTGTGATTCCAGCAAACATGTACAGGATTATCCTGTCCTGTTGCTGCTGCTGTCATTCTCTCTTGTCTTTTTTCATTGCCAGTCTGGTGTCACTGGATCACTGGAAATGTCAGTTTGACAAATCAGCTAGGACCCATGCTGAAATGTCAGTCCTAGTGTTATTGTTAGTGGTTGAAGTCTGGCAGCCTTTCTTCTTCCTTAGCTTCAGTGAATGTAAGGACGGAGTGATTCATAGGACAGAACTATTTGATTTCCTATGTGTCAAGCTTCTTACTGTATTGAGTTTGATAGCTTTTATTTGATTAACACATCTTCCCAAAAGGTATCCCACCTTAATTTGATGGCTTAGGAGACAGGAAAATCCATCACTTCTCTCAGTAAAAGTTCAGCAGAGTTCATGCTTGCTCTGAATGATCAAAAGCCATCCCAGAGGGGAGGTGCAGCAGCTGTTCTGGGGTGGGGGTGCACTGGGGTCTGAGGCACGCTTATGTGAAGAGCTTCATGTCAACCATGGGGTATGCTGCTAGTTCAGGGCAGTCACTTCTTCATTTTCTAGATACCTCTCTTGGTTATTTTGTTGGGTTTTTTTTTGTCTCCCTTACATTTTTACTAAGATAGCATCGTGCAGTGTTATATATAAGTTCAGGTGGCTGAAGCCTCTGATTACAGAGGAGATAATTAATTGGGACTGAGTCAAAGTTGGTTGGTTTAGAGTAAGAATTCAGAATTTACTTGCTCAGTGTCTGTTTGGCTTTGATCCTTATCTCTGTTTCGTGCCAGATGTTCATCTCACCAATGTGGCAGTGCAAAAGACTGCACCTGATTACGATCCTGAGAAGGTGAGTGAGTAGCACTGCCTGCAGAATGCTCCCCCAGTGCCTGCCAGCGGGGCTCGTCTTGCAGACAGGAGCAAGCTGACCTCATCGTGCCCGCTGCCATGCTGTGGACATGTGCTGCAGCCACTTAAGTGTGCTGTTGTCTCCAGACACCCATAAATGTGATTTCATTGATAAGAGAGAGCTTGGGTGAGCATTCTGCTTTAACTGTTGCGTTGCAGCTGTCTGCTCATCTATAAGGTTGATGTTTTTGACTTAAACTCTAAGAGCTTTCTGCTTAACCATTTATCTGAGCTGTAGCTATCTTATAGCTTAGTCCTTCACTTCTAAGGCCTCAGTGTTACAGCAAGGTTACGATTGCTACACACAGCTGTCACTATTGAGCTTCCTGTTGGAAGAGGTGGCAGCTGAAAGAGGGAGAAGACTTTAAATGAGATGTCAGATTCGTGGCAGATATGAGATCAGAGTCAACATTTGAGAGTAGTAGGGGATTGCGTTGAACTTCCCATTTTATAGGCTGTTCCCTTTCTATAAATTCTATCTATATGGAAAGGAGGGTCTCTGCAGAATTCTGACAGAAGATGGTGATTTGATCTTTGAGAATTTCTGATGGGGACCTGGAGACTTTTTAAAAATTCCTCCTCTCTTTCCTTTGTAGATAAAATAATCAAACTTGAATTGCTAATTGCATTGTGGAGTTGGTAGCCCTTGCCTTCTGGTCTCTGGGTTTTTACTAGGAATTCTTGCTTGACTGTAGAGATTGTAGAGTGACTGAAAAAAATCACACAGATTAAATGTGTGGTCATCTGTTGGGAGCAGCTTAGTATAATTGTGTTTGGATGTCTTAGGGCTGCAAGTGGATGATTCAGCAGCTCAGACAGTACTTGACTGCCAAACATGGAACAGGATTGGTGGAAGTTCTCTTTGCGGATATGGACAACATTTTCATCAAGAGCCTCCAGAGTGTTCAGAAAGTGATTATCAGTGACAAACGCTGCTTTGAGCTCTACGGCTATGACATCTTGATTGATCAGGACCTGAAACCGTAAGGGCATTAATGAGTGTAAAAGGGATTTTAGTGTCAGGCCAGCTGCTTTCCCTGGGGTGGTGGGGATGTGTGGGGACACTTCTGCATCCTGAAGGTAGATGCCTACAAGCTGGCTGCAAGTGAGCCAGTCCAGGAACTGCGAGTGAAACAGGGATGTTTTGCACTTAGGAAGCTGAAATCTGTAAGGAATGCAGCTGTTCTTGTTCAGAACATTGGGTGCAGCACCATGTAAAGTTGTTAAATCTCCTGCACTGTGTTGTAAAAACCTGCTATTTTGGTTATTTCTGTAATAAGTTCCCTCAAAAACATCGCTGTATCACAGCAATTATGAGAGACAGGAGGATTGCTTGCATCTCTTCTCCCACTTATGTATATTGCAGCAGTGTCCTGTCAGTGATGATAAATGTCCAGCCACCACCATGAGGCTGCTAGCACTAAAACACATCCCCTCTGTCTGTGTTATGATGGCTAAAAGGGGAGACCCCAATGGAAAGATGCACTTTCTGTTAATCGTGGAGGAAGAGGCTACGTAGGGACTGAGGATGCTTAAAAGAAACAAAAACAACAAAACCCCCAAAACTTTAAAGCATAATCTGACTCTACTTAGATTATTTTTAAGTATAGCTCTTCTCACAGTTTAAGTGAAAAATATGACTCAAAGTTCAGCTGAAATTCTCCAGTTTTTATCTGCTACAATGTGCAACCCAAGTATTGCAACAGCAGGAACCCGAAAGCGCAACTAACTTGTCATTACATGAGTTGAGAAAAATAGAAACAGCAAGTAGTGCTTCAGAAATGACAAGCTGGATTCTTCTTTCAGCCTTAATTACGTAAAATGCAAGTAGTACCATAGGTAAGGAAATATCCCTGAGCTATGATTTATGTTGATGGTGCTCTTTGTAGCTGGTATACCTGTGACAGCCACGTGTCCTGTCAGCATTGGTCTCATTTCACGTGGTGCCACTGGGGACAGCTTTACTTCGAATGAGCAAATAAATGCAGCTCGGCTCTGGTCCTGGATAGCTCTAATTTGTACCATCTACTCAGTGCAGAGCCTCAGACCAAAGTATTGTGTAGGTAGCCTGCACATAAGGAGCTGGAGTGACTTCAGTTGGTTAGGAAACAAATCCAAGTGGTGGATTGGACTGAAAGTCACTGATTGCAGTGCTTGGATACCACTCCTGCTGCTTGCCTCATTTATGCGGCTCTTGTAGGAGAGCCATTTGAATACTGTTGTGCTATCAAACTGTTCCCGGGATACTTTTGCATTCCTACACCGAAAATGGGTTAGTGCTTTTTCTGTGATTTATCCTCAATGTTTACTGCTTTCTCTAGAGTTTGGTTTTAACTTGCATGTCTTTCTGGATGCTGGAGGGATTTTTTCTTTATTACCATCGAGAACAGGAATAGAAACTTTGCAATAAGCTCAGAATGTTCTTTGGCTCAGTGTGCGGGAAAGAGATTTGGGGTTAGATTTCCTATTGCTTCATAGTTACTCCTGCCTGCTGGCAGTGTAGTGTTTTTGTGGACAGACGTTTCTGTTAGATGAGCCATTGGTAGAACTGCCTGTTTCTCCCTAACTTACTGCTCTATCTCCTCAGCTGGCTTCTGGAGGTAAATGCATCACCTTCCCTTGCTGCCAGCAGCCAGGAAGACTATGAACTCAAGTGCCACCTGCTTGAAGACACACTTCATGTTGTGGACATGGAGGGCAGGTGGGCAAAGATGCTTATGACCCTCTAAAGGTTTTTATTGCTGTGTGAAGGTGTTCACACATTGTCTTTTCTTGGCAACTGATTGGAAGGTGCTAAGCTTTATAGCTGTTAAATAATGAATTTCCAGAAACTGGGCAAAGCAAGCAGGCATACCCCTGCTTCAGAGTGGAGAAAACAAAACAACGCAGTGCAGTGAAGGAAATGGAGACAGTGTTAGAGCTGGGACTTGCACAAGAACTGCTTCAAAGCTCCTTCTGCATTGTGCCTCCCACACCTATTGTTTCTAGAGTGATCTGTTCCAAGAAGCCAGTCTTGCATCATTTTGTGGTTGACTTTACAACTATGTTGACTTTGGATATTTATAGTAGAAAGATGCCCACTGCTTTCAGCTGTTCAGCTTTATCTCTGACCAGCAGTTTATTCCTGTGCACAGGTAAGATAATCATCATTACTCTGGTACTTCAGTACTTGTATTTGGTGTTGTAGGCTGACTGGGAAGGAGAAGCGTGTTGGTGGCTTTGACCTGATATGGAATGATGGGCCTGTCAGCAGAGGAGGAAACCTGGGTGCTTTGGTGAATGGGAGCTTCGTGGCAAACACACACTTAGGTATGTACTCACCTATTGCAGGCATGGTGCCCTGCTCACATCCTTTCCTCAACATGAGAGCACACCCCTTTCACTCAAGAACAAGAGAACAGGGAACATCGACTCTTACAGGAGTCCAAAAGGAAAATATGCTTTCCAAACATGGATGTGAGCAATTAGATTACAGCAGCACTATTGAAATCCAACACACAAACGTGGAGGGAACAACATTGTTCATAGACCTGCTTTTCAAGCTTTTAAATTGTTGCAGTTCTTCATATGTCAGCTTGGCAGAAAATCTTATGTACAGCCGTTGCAGTAGATGTTTACTAAGCACTCTCTTAAAGCTGGTTCTGCTTTTTTTTTCCTCTTAATACTATGAAGTAGTGCTTGGATTCTGAAGTCATACTTCTGAGAGGCTAACACATGTCTTGAGTTTATTTTGTATACTTAGGTCAGTACATCAGTCATCACTGATTGTAGTTCATAAATAAAACATGAATACAGCTTCAACTGAAAGTGGGCAGTTGCCCTTTATGCTCGTGAAAGGTGTAAGGTAAGGACAGTGGACCTCCCCTCTTAATGTTTTCATTGCAGGCTGCTTCAATGACAGGAAGAAACAACTGAAAGAGCTTTTTGGGAATCTTCCTGCACAGCAGACAGTGTAAGGCTGATCTCAAGCTTGGGTTGGGAGATTACTGTCGATAAAGTTCACGGTCTCTCTTCCTCCTATTGTATAGCAGCAGTTCACATTTCTCTCTGCCTCAGTCCAAGATAGTTGGCCTTCTTGTTTCCGAAGGCTTCCCCAGCTGGGAAGCTGTGACAGGCTTGAATGAAATATTTTACAGTGTCTGACAAGGCACTCACAGGTGACACTGGCTTCTCAGCTGACCACCTGCATTCTGCATAGAGTATGAGAAAATAAAGCAGCTGAACACATTCTGACCAGCAAAAAAGCTCTCCCCAAAGCTTTTGGGGAAGGCAGACACCTAATCCTTCTGCTGCTACTACTATGGAAACATGTCAGATCATAAAACCTGTTGCCATGATACTGTAAAAATAACCTTGCCATCACATGTTAGACACATTTCCTGGCTGTACTATGCAGGTTATGTAAGAGTGCAGTTATAACACAGGCATTTGGCAATGTACTGCCATTCACTTCCAGAACAGATGTAAGGTGCCTCAGATACTAAGTTAACATTACTTTCAGTCTTTGCATCTTTAACTTACTCCTGAAGTGGAGAGCAGATGAGCTACCAGGAGAGCCAGTGACATGTGGACAACTGCAGTGTTTAAAGTCTTTAAATTCTATTAAAACAATCCTTACATAAGTCCAGAAGGGAAAGAGTAGGCAATTTTTTGTAAAAATGAGACTCACTGCAGTGCACTGACAGTTGTGACTAATTTTCACAAATTTTGCTGTGGTCTTAACCAACTTGTATTGGGGTAGCAACTTCAGGATGAAGAGGGTAGTGCATAAGACAGTAAGTTTTACAACCTTTCGAGAAACTATTACAACTTAAAACAATTATCCCTTTACTGCAGGCCAAGTCCAGGCTCTTCGAGCTGCAGGTTTTTTGCTGATATGTTTTATTCTTTCATCCTGTTTTGAAAGCTTCATTTTCTGTGTTCTCTTGGCTCCCACCTTGACAGCAGGCTGTGTTTTCCCATTAAGACTAACAGGATGCTGCCTTCTTCTGTTCCTCCCTACACATCTTTCAGGAGATTCCTGACATGTTTCAGATGTCTAGTTTCATTTTTGTTTTAATACCCCAGGCACACACAGCTCTTCTATGCTCTGGGCATACTGTAGATTTACAATTCCTCCTACTCCTGTCCCTGACACTGCAGTGAACTAGCTCTGCAGCCAAACTACAGAAGCTCTCACATAAAAACCCAACAACAAACACACACACACACACAGTTAGGAATGTCCCACAGTGCTGATTTTAATAATCCCCCTTGCAAGTGAGTGTTTGTCAGAGGCTGTGAATAAGCCACTGTTCCAGTAGTTGCCTCTGCACTGCTCTGCCACCATCCTCAGCAAGGAGCAGGGAGAGTTTACAGACAGAATTGTAGCTGAGGAGCTGCATCTTTCCCTGTGCTCCCCGGGTTCTTTATGAGAGGCTCCAGCAGCACAGAAGTGCTGGAAGTCCTGGAGGCTATGGCTGATGCAGTCACTGTGAGTGATACCCAACCACACCACCCTGAGCAGTGCTTGCACACAGTTGTGGTGGTGGCACAGCTCCCTCAGCCTTCCAGGATGCGATTGATCAGTTTCATTTCCTCTGGAGTCATGGGGTTCAGGTTAAATCCCTTCAGCTCAGGTTTACCTGTGAGAAAGTGCAGGACATTGGGATTCTGCTATAAAACACATGAAGCATTCCACGTGTAACTGCACGGGAGTTCTGGGCAGGGCAGTTTGTTCTGACAGCATCATGAAGGTTGGAAAAAAAAATAATCTGAGATCATCAAATCCAACCCCAACCTACTGCACTGTGCCCCCTGACCACATCTGTCAGTGCTGCATCTCTGCAGTTCTTGGGCACCTCCAGGGACAGCCATCCCACCAAACCCTGGGCAACTGTGCCACTGCATCACAGCTCCTCTGGAGAATGAACTGTTCCTAATATCCAACCTGGTCATCGCTGCGTGCACTCAGCACGCTGCTGGGTGGCAGCTTTGCAGTAAGACTGTGTGTTGGTGCTGGAGTAGGGAGGGAATTACAAAGTGAGGTGAAGAGCAGCCCCAGATCCCGACTTTCTGGAGTCTCTCCCCAGCATCTGCTGCCAGACCTTTGCTGCGGGGCTCAAGACCGGCAGCGTTTACCTTGAGCTTCATAGAGACGGTTGACCTTCACACGCAGCTCTTTCCGGAGGTTGTTTATCTCCTCATCCAGATGTTCCTGATCTGAAAATAGCAGGGCAGGAATAGGGGACCGGGGTTGGACAGAGGAACGACAGAGGACCCAGGGCGGGAGGGGGCCGTGCTGTGAGCGGGGCGGGACGGCAGCAGCGCGCACAGCGCAGACCTGAGGGCTGTTTTATCTCAGAGCTCATCACGGCCAGCACCGGGCAGAGCCCGCCGTACCCTTCTGCAGCATCTCCTCGGTCTTGGCCTTGGGCAGCTCGATGAACGTGCTCCCGAAGCAGACCATGGCTTTTCCTGCGGACGAGGAGCAGACGGGCTCAGCGCCGCCCCCCGCACGCCGCCCCGACCCCCGCGGGGCTCCCGCTCTCACCCTCGGGCTCCGGGTCTTTGCGCAGCGCCCGCAGCGCCTCGCGGTTCCGGTTCCGTTTCACGTCCAGATCGACGATCTGCAAAGAGACGGGAGGGGAAGGGATGGGAGGGGAGGGGCCGGGCGGTGCCGAGCCGTCAGCCGGGCCGGGCCTCACCTGCTGCCGCGCCGCCAGCACGTCCTCGGCCAGCTCCTCCACCTCGGCCAGGTAGCGCAGCACGAAGGCCGGCTCCCGCGCCATGGCGGCCGGCGCCGCTCCGTCCGTTCTCCGCTCCCCGCCGGGCGGCTGCAGCGGCCGCGCTCGGGAGTTCCGCGGAGGACGGCAGAGCGCCTCCGTGCGGCCACTGCGGGAAACGGCCGGGCGGTTCCGCGAGGGGCGCTGCGGGGCGGCCGCGTGGCCCGGCTGCGCCTGGAGGAGCGCGGAGGTTCCGCTCTGCGCTGATGGACCGAGCGGTGCGGGGCTGCGGCGGGGCGGTTCGGCTGGGTGTCGGGGTGAAGTTCTGTCCCGGGGAGCCCCGAGCTGCCGGAGCTCTCAGACACGGGTTCTGATTTCGAGGCTCCCCGTGCGGAGCCGGGGGTTGGGTTCGGTCATCCCTTCCATCTCGGGGTGTTCTGCGGTTCTGCGGCTGCGAGGAGCGGAGCTGTCGGTGTGCGAATAATCCCCGGAGGAAGATTAAATAGATCGGAAGATTACCGGCCCTAATCTCGTAAGGTCGTTTGTGACAGTTAACGGGAGAGATCTCGGTCTGCAGCAGCGTGTGCTAAAATAAGAAGGCTCCCAGCGAAGTGGTGGAAATGAGCACTTGTGCACAGCATCCTGGCCAGGCTGGGAGTGATTCAGGCTCGGTTTGGATTTTTTCCTGACACCAAGCAGAAGAAGCAGCAGGACCGGGGCTGGATGCCAAAGCTGAGAAATGCTCCTTTTCAGTGGGGGTTTTGAGGTGGGGCTGGGAGCCATCTGCTCCCCATCCACATTGTCTTCTAAGGGGTCTCTTGGTGATGTGGGTGCCGAGGTTGGCTGCAGATGGGATGTGGGACACAGACCTACCCTACAGCCCCATACTGCAGCATGCACTGCAGAGCCCTTGGCTCCAGCTCTCTGCCTGGCAGCATTTGATCCTTATTGCTTTGATGGGATCAGGAGACAGCATGCCTGATTTCCATAATGCGTGCTTGGATCACAGCTGGAGCTGGAGCTGGAGCTGGGTTTGCTTCCCAGGGACACACACTCTCCTGACCTTCATGGGCAGTAGAAGCCGTCTGTCCTGTCTCACATGCATGGATACAACCTTTGGGGATCAGGATTGGGTGATGGGAATGAGAATGGGGCTGGGTATGAGGATGGGGATGGGCTGAAGATGGGCTCCCTGTTTCTCAGCAGCAGCAGAGAGAAGCCCGATGACCACCCTTGAGACAGGCAGTGCTGCTCACCAACCCACACCAAAATAAAGGCCAGGTTTACCGTGGCCACGCAGAGGGTTGCAGCTCAGCACGGGAGCTGCAGCTGAGCTGTGGCAGGAGGCATCACAAAGCCTTGGGCACCTGGGAAACATTCCCAAGGCAATGAATGGCTTCCAGTGCCACTCTCTGCAGGTCTCTCCCACAGCAGGTTCTGAGCCAGACACGAATCATCACGGCCTTTCTTCTCCTGAACCTGGCGCCGTGGGCAAGCTGCTTGCCTGGAAGCTGGACTCAGCCCGGAAGCTCATTCAGATTGATTGTATGTTTATGTGTCCTCCTGGGAACCTGTGCAGCCAGAGCATGTGGCCATCCACCCGCTGCTATGGGATGGTTTGCATCTGTCTGTATTTTGTTACGCATTGAAGGTTTGGGTTTCAGCGTGTTTCTTTTTCTTTCTTTCTTGAAGCACTTTTATTTATGCGGCTGAAACCCCCCCTGCCTGTCTGCTGACAGCTGCACAGGAAGGCTTCAAGGATGTTTATGGATTTCTTTTTTCTCCTCATCTTTTCCTGTGATTGCCAGGGTCTGTTGTTAAGATAAATCAGACATCAAACCACAGTCACCTCTCATGCAGGCACTGGACATTCAACTCCGCTTTGGAGGTGGCGTTTCAGGGTTTGTGGAGGAAGGGATCCCTTCTCCCCCTGTTTTCCCCTTGTCCTGGGGCTGTGCCCACCATCACCTGAGGGTTATGGCACCAGTCCTGCACCATTGCCTAGACTCCTAGGGACAGCACTCAGACCCCTCTGCACCAGTAGCTCTTCCCCTACCTCTGGACAGCCAAGGCTCTTTTCCTGTCCTCCTGGGATGCGGGCAGCATCCCCTCCCCCCAGCCGGATATTTGTGAAGGGGATCAGTCAGGGGCATCTCAAGGTTAGGTGGCATTTAAGTCGCATTACCTGTACTAATACATGCACCTCACAGAGGGCCTGCCTCTGCTCCCCCTGGGTTGCCCAATGCCTTCCTCCCACAGTATATTCCCTGGGTTTCATGTACTAGCAACCCAGGCTCTCCCCAGCTCTAAGCTGTTCCCCTTGTCACTATGCGAGACGGAGTTGGAAAGTTGGCTGCGTTTCCCGGGATAAAACAGACTCCCCCTCACTCTTTGCTGCAGTGTGTGTGCTGTGGGCCAGGCTCCATCCATGTGCTTGGCTCCTCCAGCAGCAGCCATGCTGAGGTGAGCCTGGCAGGCTGAAATGCAGCCAGCAGAGAGGGGCTGAGGCTGCTGTAAAGAGACAGCTGCCTCCATGCCATCACTCTCCCTGGAGACACCCTGCAAAGCAGCAAAAAGCCCCTTTCCCTCCCCCGTTTGTCTCTAGGCGCTGCTGGGGATGCTGGCAATGTGCTCCCTGCACCCCATGACAGGGGATGCTCAGGACATACTGCATCTGAACACTTATGGGCAGCAAACGGAGAAGAAGTGGAGGGGGAGAGCCAGGTCCATGCACAGACCTTGGTGCTTGGCCGGGTTGTGCGGCTCCTCAGAGGCTTTCCCCATGGCTGGGCTTGGGTTCATCCCAGTGGGCTCCAGGTACCGGGGGGAGCAGCACCAGCAGCTGCCCTCTTCCTTCCCTCAGGCTGCCTTGGGTGGGAGCCTAGTGGCCTATGTCCCTGTGTCCCTATGTCCTTGAGTCCCCATGATCCTGTGTCTCTATGTCCCCACGTGTTTGTGTCTCTGCGTCCCTATGTCTGTGTCCCCACGTCCCTGACCCGGACCCACAGCACCTTTGTACACCCAGGTCCAGGCTCTCACCACCCGGACCCATTCGGGGCCGGACCCACGGGCAGGCTTTGCCGTGCTGAGGGCTGAGGGCTGGGGATGCTCCAGCCGCTGGCGATGCGGGCGGAGGCACTCCGGGCAGCGGGACCGGGCATTCAGCCGGCGGCGGGGCTGTGCCGGTCCGATCCGGGACTGCCGGGGGTCGGGGCAGGGGGAGGCGCCCGCGGGGCGCTGCCCTTTCCGGGAGAGGGGGAGCGGCGGGGCCGGGGCGGGGCCGGCGGGGGGAGCTGCCGGGGTGGGGGAGCGGAGGGGCCGGTGCCGGTGCGGCGCGGCTGGGCCCGGCCGGCGGGCGCGGGGCGAGGCCGGCGGGGGGGGCGGGCGCTGCCGGGGCGGGCTCGGCGGCTCCGTCCTCCCTCCGGAAGTCTCTCCCGCTCCCTCCTTTCTCCTCCTCTCCCCCGACAACATGGCCGCGAAGTCGGACGGCGGCGGCGGCGGCCCGGCCGTGAGGCTGGAGAGCCCGGAGGGCGGGGGAGGGCGGCGGGCGGGCAGCGCGACTCCCCCGGGCCGGCGGTACCGGCTGCGGGACGGCTGCTGGGTGCTGTGCGCCCTCCTCGTCTGCTTCGCGGACGGCGCTTCGGACCTGTGGCTGGCGGCCCAGTACTACTTGGGGGGGCAGCGGTGGTGGTTCGGGCTGACGCTGCTCTTCGTGCTGCTGCCATCGCTCGTGGTGCAGCTGCTCAGCTTCAGGTGGTTCGTGTACGACTTCGCCGTCGGCACCAAGGACAGCGCCGGCAGCACCAAGGACAGCGCCCGCGGCCGCCGCGGCTGCTGCCGCCTCTGCGTCTGGTTGCTGCAGGGCTGCATCCACCTGCTGCAGCTGGGGCAGGTCTGGAGGTAAAAGGAGGGGGTCAAAGGGACGGGATGGGGATGAACCTAATGGGGCTGTAGGGCTGCATCCAGCTTCTGCGGCTGGGGCAGGTCCGGAGGTAAAAGGAAGGGGTTACAGGGATAGGATGGGGCTGGATGGAGGGGCAGAGCACAGTACAGATATGAGCGGGGATCCCCAGGTGCAGGGAGGACGGAGGACACAGGTGAGGATGGCCGGGACACAGGTGGGAGATGGAGGTGGGAATGGCGATGTGCAGCTGGGGTGGGCGTGGGAACCAATCCTTCTGCATCCACAAAAGGGGTAGGGGGTGGAAGGCTCTTGGCAGAGCCTGGCTATGAGCAAGAGCTGTGGGTGTGGGCAGAGTGTGAGGGGCTGCAGCCCTGCTGGGTGGCACAGGCCTGCTGTCCTGGGTGGTGCTGGGCCTGGTGAGGGCATCTGCCTGACCATGGGGACTGCATCTTGGGGATATGCAGTGTTCCTGCTGAGCACCAAGCACCTCAGGCTCAGAGCCTCCTCCCCGGTTTCTCCTTCTCCTGCTTGGAGCTGTTGTGGGCAAGGGGGGAGTGGTTGTCCCCAGGTTTCCCCATGGGGCTGCATTTCTGCTCTCTGCCCTGCTGGGCCTGCAGGCAGAATGAGCAGCAGTTGGCCCAGAGCAGACTCGAGCCCCTTGAGCATGCTCCTCTGCACCCTCTTCCAAAGCTGATGGTTTCTTGGCACACTCATTTCCATCTGAGCACCTTCTTTCCCTGTGTGATGGAGCCAGTGCTGCTCCCTCCCAGCTCTGCTGAACTCCATCCACTGCTCTGCAATAGAGCTGATGCCTTGAGATGCTGGGAGGGGAGTGGAGACAATGGCATATTTCTGAAACAATGCCCTGAGCAAGCGATGCTCTTGGTCTTGTTTGGTGCTGCTTCCCCTCCTGAGCTACTGTGGCACAGAGGCTGCTTTCCTCCTTCTTGTTGTCTGCATGCACTTCTCTGCTGCTTTTCTTGGGATGCTGTGGGGATCTCTAACTTTGTTTCAGAGAGCAATGTGCTCTGTGTGAGCAGCTCCTGTCCTTCCCTCCTGCCTGCCGCCATCCCCTCAGTCCTGCTCTCAGTGTGGTGGCAGCAGGATGGGAGCGATCCCCTTCTGGGTGTACTGGGAGAGCTGGGAAGGAGGATGAGATCCCTGGGGCTCGGTGAGCAATTACTGGGGTTTGGTTGGAGCCGGGTCAGGTTTTGCTCCCAGTTGTGTCAGCCGCAGTCTCCTATCTGCTGCAGGCTCCTAAGCCAATTAAAGTGGTAACTCTCAGCACTGACCCTCCAATACACGTTGGTTTCAAGCAGCAGCTGAGGCTCTTTCTAATCCGAGGATTTGGGATTTGCTCGGGTGACCAGTTAAATGCAGTTCGCTAAACCCATTAGCAAGACTGGATCTGGTGCAGGTGGATGTGACAGTTTAAGAAGTGTTGAATTATAGCCAAATAAACACGGTGTGTGAAAGGAAGGCTTTTCCTTGGCCATGATGTTGGTCCCTCCCTGCTCATGCCTCCCATCCTGCATTTATCCAGCCCTGTGGTGAGGGCCACTGTAATTGCCTCGGCAGCTCTTACCCACCCCAATCACTCCCTGCATGGCCCCAGATTCTCCCCACAGTCCTGAAATTGGGGTGAGGTGGGGCTGCAGGAAAGAGGGCACCCAGGGACCGTGGTCTGCTTGCTGGCCGGGCATGGGTCTGCACACGGGGCTCTCCCCAATGGCTTGGCTTTGTGGGTTCTGTCATGGATTGGCATGGCTGCAACAGGAAAGCAATTTTCTCCTTGTTTTAATAAAGCAATGAGGGATGATATCTCAAATTACCTGTCAAGAAAATCACACTTCCTATTGCTCACTCTCAGACTGGTGGAAGTCCTGTGGCTTCTCACCTGAGGATGATGACCTCTGGCATTGGAAGAGCCAGGGTTAGGGTTAAGATTGGCATTAAGGTTAGGATTAAGACTCTGCTTTTCTCCCAACCTTTGCAAGCTGGAATGGCAGTGGGACCATAGGTTTGAGGGCTGTGATGAGGCTGTGGGATGACTGATGACTACAGGGCCATGCTGTGAGCAAACGGTGCTCCTGCCCCCACTGCCACCCCAACCCTCTGTGGAGATTTTCGTCAGATTGGGCTTTTTAATACAAAGGAGGCAGTAATTAGCCCTAAGAGCTCTCTCGGTTGGTTTCTGCATCATCATCAGTTTTTTTGAAAATTAAATGATTTTATTTTTTTTTTTTTTAAGTAATTGATTCTGTATTTCTCATGCAGCTGCTGCTGCGCTCAGTTCATAAAAACCTGGCGGTGCTCCGTCAGCGCGCGGGGATCTTTTCCTGGGCTGAAACACAAACGGCGTGATCAAATGCATAACAAATAGGAATCAGCATTTCATTCTGGCAAGTTGATGGGAGATGAAATCTCGGTTTAATGAGCTGACAGGAAGGTGGGAGGATAACCGGGCCCCATGGAAAGCGGGGGGGTCCAAGGGCCACTTGTTGAGCGGTGAGGAGCCGCAGATGGGGGTGTGTGTGGTTCCCCAGCCCCACCCCATTTCCACTGTGGTGCTGGATGGAAATGCTATAATTTGCAAACAGGGACGTCTTGTTTGGCTGCCAGTGCTCAAAGGTCTCTGGGAGGTTCTCAGGGATGGGTTGGCAGAGCTCAGCCTGTGTCCCCCCAGTTTCCCTCTGTCTCCTCTGCTCCTTTTTGCC